TTGCACAACTCCCTTATTTGGGCTGCAATATCTTTGACTACTGTGTGTGAAGCACACAATAGGAGTCTGTGGTTACTGTGTCTGTTCCTCTGAAAACCCTCTGAAAATTTCTTGAATACTAGTAATTCACAGACCTGGTTACTTTGAGATCTATTATGCATATGAATTCAATAATTTGCATAAATTGGACAAATTTCTGATATATCAATGACCAACTCATCAGATTAAATTAAACTTGGTGGTGCTTGTACTCTGGGATAAACAACAGTTTGCAAACCACATATGTACAATCAAATTTATTACTTTTGTATTAATATAAAATTCAATAATGTGAATTAGATGGCGATCACACTGAGCATCTCAAAAAGGAGAGCTAGCTGACATGCTACATGTTTGATAGGTAGCCTAAAAATTGTAATTTTAAATATGCCTCTAATTTTCTCAATACACAATTCAGTTAAACTATTTTGAAAGCCACCATCTCAAACAAACGTTTTCTGCATAGAAATGGTCCATACATGTGTCACCAGCCAACTCAGTCTTCACTTATTTTATTCTAATCATGCATTGAATTTGCATGAAATAAAGTAGAAAAGTTGACATATCCGTAGTCCATTCTCTATGACTTGTGACTAGCTCATGATGCTGAGTGTCTGTGATATCCAGCCATGCACACAGTTGTTGTTGTAAAGTTGTTTTTGTGTACAGTTTAGCTATGTTACATATATTACTTGTCTAATTCCTTCTCAGTTTTGGGGTAGATTGTGATGATCTTTGATGAGTTTTCTAGCTGCAATTGTAGTTTTAAGATGTCCCAGCTGAAAGAATTAAAGAAGTTTATTATCGCATCTGCAAATAAATACTCATTTCCTCTAAACTAAGAGGGTTGCCTCTGAAGTTTTGGTCCATATATCATACTGTAATTTTGAAATAAAGTGCATTGTGGGATAAGTATATCAATCGCACAAGTGGACATGATTTGTGGTTGATGGAGTTGCCCTTGATTGGGTCGAAACTATCGCACAATTCACTATGACTTTGAATTGCAATATGGTCAATGTTTCAAAGGCAGTAGAAAAATATTGCTGATGAAGTATGACACAGTGGTTTGTTTTCAAGTAGAAGAAGATGATTGAAACGTAGATGGCTGCCAGTTTTCAGTATGCAAATGACACTCGTGTGAAACCTCGCTTCAAGGTGCTCCGCAAAATCACACTTTTCGGCAATCTTGACGCCCATGGTGCTTTATTTTCATGTCATACACAAACTTGAATACATCCACGAAACAATTTCGATGTTAATTTACAAGTTCGGAGTGATGTCATTGTGATTTCTGCGTAAGAGCTACGGACTACTCAAAATGACTGTCAGTCATAGGTTTTTGCAACTGGAAGGTGTTAATCCTGAGTTGTTCAATCTCTGGGTATGTTTATGTAATTACGGAGGTGATGATGTAAGTGATATCATGGAGCTAACAAGAAATTATTACTATTATTTGTCCGGTCACTTTAGGGGCCCGAGTGAGTGCACAGGGCACAGGCTGAGGTATGCACCAATGGGGAGGGACTGTGCGTAAACACTGCAATAACTCCCTTAGTGTATGTGTGCAAAAAAGACGTTCGCAGTTACAGGGCTTGTAAACATGCTCGATTCTTGTTTCTTCAGTGAAAACAGAGGTGAACTAGGTCAGTTACGAGAAGGGAAAATGGATGGTTTTCACCCCATTGTTGATGGCAAGACGAACCAAGCTGTGGATTAGTTATTGGTGGGCCTGGCTAGTCATGATAATAGCAGGGTTCATTAGAGGGGCTCGTCAACAAATAATTCGCTGACAATATGCTTTGAATATGCAAATGATTCTCAAATTTATATATGATGTTTTCGACAATTTTCAAAAGTACAAATGTGTCTCGAAATAAATAAATTGAAAGATCTCGCAAAAAATGTTTTGTTCCCTGAACTATATCCCCGCAATGAAATGATTGTTGACCGACAACATTGTGTAAAAAAGGTATGCGTGTATGAGTATTGCAACGTATGAGTCACGGATATATTTGTGTATATTTGGCGTCTGGCAACTGGGTATGCCCATGCCACACAGTTATACCACAAAGTTTTTTTAAAATTTGTTAGAGCCTTTTTTCACGTCAGAAAAAAACGTCATTATTGCCTAGCCGACAAGACATGTTATGGCATGTGTTGTACTATGCGATAATATGCATTGTGTATGTCATTCAAATAAATCGTTGCAAATAAGAAGCTCTATGATGCAAGTAAGAAAACTGCTTTAAAAAGATTGTGGGGGGCCAAGGGTGTTGATTGTGGAAATATAGTAGTAAGGCCAAAAAGTCAGATGGCTGTCAATCGGCCATCCTTGACCAGATTTTGAAACAAATTGTCATGGACATGCATCCTAACATGTATAAAGTACATGTATGTGCCAAATTTGAATGCAAACTGACAGAGCACGTCCAAGATACCGCATAAAAAAAAAAAAAAATGATCCCATTGCGAAATAAAAAATGTTATGGACATGTATCCTAACATGTATAATCTATGTACCAAGTTTGAATGACAACTGACACAGCATGTCCAAAATACAACATTTTCAAAAAACAAGATGGCTGCCAGTCGGCCATTTTGAATCGAATTCTAAACCACTGCATGTGCATATGTCCCACATAAGGTACTAGGCACATGCAAAGAATGAACGGAATCGGTCTACAGGATTCTGAAATATGACTCAGGACAGACTGAGGGACGGACGGACACATGGACGAATGGACAGACTCAGGAACTCACGGACAGTCGGGGACATGTATTCTAACATGTATGATTTATGTACTAAATTTGAATGAAAACTGACAAAGCATGTTCAAAATACAACATTTTCAAAAAACAAGATGGCTGCCAGTCGACCATCTTTGATCCAATTGTGAAATAAATCGTCATGAACATGTATCCTAACATGTTTAATCTATGTACCAAGTTTGAATGAAAACTGATAAAGCATGTCCAAAATACAACATTTTCAAAAAATAAGATGGCTGCCAGTTGGCCATTTTGAATCGAATCGCTAAACCACTGCATGTGCATATGTCCCACATAAAGTACTAGGCACATGCAAGGAATGAACGGAATCGGTCCAAGGGATTCTGAGATATAACTCTAGATGGACTCACGGACGCACAGACGGATGGAGACATACTAATTTAATACCATTGCATAAGACAAAGGGATCCTAATATTGATATCAAAGAATAAACATGAAATTTAAATACATCAAACCCTGGCATCCAGGGTTTTGCCTCATGCAATTTACATATCAGTCAATGAATAGCATAATAATTTGCATATCACCAGAGAAAATATTCATCACAACTATTGCAAACTTACAAAAATATCATGTTCTAAGTTTTTCATGTTACATTATAGTCATTACATGTATCTCATGGAATACTACACAAACACCAAATAAACAAACAGGATTATGTATATTTCCAAGGGTGCATCAATGTAAACTGCGGTAGATATTTTAAGAATTATGAGCATTTTTCAGAAAAAATTTTTTTTTTGATTTTGCCTGTGAGTCTTTGCCAAAAAGATCACCATAATTCTTTGCAATAGAACAGTTTGGTTGAACACAACACTATCTTCAAAAGATATAACATATTCTTACTCTTTGTCAGGTGAGTTCCTCATTGCCCAGCTATATAATGTACCATTTGATTTTCTTCCTTTGACTGGTATCTTCATCTGAAATAATCAACATATATAGAAAGTATTGAGTGAAAAGTTATTTACATTGCAATGTAAAACAATTTTGATATAAGATACGGAAACAATTACATTATAGAAATTATAAAAGACAAACCCCAAAGACCATTAAAAGTCAATAAAAAAAATACAAAACAAAATTGACATTTAAAAAAAAAAGAAGAAGAAATTTATCGTAAATTTTAACTTGTATAATCATTCGATGTATAATTATTTCCTGATTGTACAGGTGTTGTGTATTGTCAGTTCTTGTAGTAGGAGTTTGTTGTTGGTGTTTGGAATGACAATTCATTTTGCTGTCTCATGCTCTTAAACATTTTGAAATATAAAGTATAAAAGCAAAAACAATAACTGATGTAAATCTACATTGGGTGATGATACCAAATAAACTGCAAGTATGAAACAAACTAAATATTTACTTACTGTACAACTAAGTCCATTAACTCTGTTGAACTTGTCACCCAAATCTAAATATCTACTTTTGATAGGTGCACCCAACATTTCCACAGATTGTTTGTGCTCACTTAGAATAATCATAGATTTTCTATAATATGATCCAGACACTAAATTATCTGTCAAAAATAAATATTAAATGAATACATTACACAAGTCATACTTTTCTTAATTATTTCATTATTTAAGTTACAAATCAATACACATTCTGGTATAAAAAACTTGTATTCAAATTAAACTGTTTTAAATTGACCAGAAGAAAATTTATTTTAAAATTGTCATGAAAATGGTGTGATGACCAGAAACATGAATATTTCTGACAAATGAATGGACAAGAGCAATCATAGCTATATAAAAAAAAAATAATTAAAGCATGGTTGTCGTCGAATTTCATGTAAATTAACAATGTATTTTACATGCGTTGTATACGGCGCTATGAGACTTATTCTAACAGGGCGCGGCCCTTTACAGCCAAAACAAAATCAGCTTGGACATTCAGTTGTGGGACATGACAAAATAAATTGTGCCAGCGATAGATATCGCGAATGAAAGAACAAAATAAACGCAATCGAAGTCGCCGACCGCGCGCATTGGAAATAAATAGAATGCGTTGCGACAAGAAATTTCACCTGCATCTTTCACTCACGCAAACGCACACATGCTATTCCCGTATATTGAATACGTTGGCAACAGAAAGGGCAAGTTTAAATCATCTTTGTATTAACACAACTTGAAAGCAACAGTGTCACAATGAATATATGTTTATCAATTATCAAACTAAGCATTCAATGAAGCGAACTGCGACGGTTAAGATGAAAAGACAAGGCTAAGATGAAAAACATGTGACAGTACGATTATACTTGTCTACTACGCATTGAATATCAATCTTTTGAAAATTCAGCTAAACAGTTTACCACCACGATTGTGGTGAATTGGCGAGTTATCAACGAAGACGACCGGATGTTTCATGTCATGAGCTGGCTGGTTCGAATTTATCCACTTTTACAGTAATGAATATTGCGTTCGAGTTGAGTTACTAGTAATTACAAGCCTGATTTACATTTTTCTTGTGGTGTTTTTTGTCAATGTATTAAATATAAGTGCGTTGGAAAATAGCATAATTATATTGCATGAGTGAAAGATGCTGGTGAGATTGTGCCACAACGCGTTCTATTTATTTCTAACATGAGTGGTTGGCGCCTCTGATTGCATTTATTTTGTATTTTTATTTTCGAAATGTATCACTGGCTGTGTTTTTTTTGTTATGTCTCGCAACTGAACGTCCAAGCTGACCTTGTTTTGGCTGTACAATGTAATCATGTTCCTCAAATAATACTACATGCACCTTATTAATCTCATTGCCCCTTATAGAATAATTTAACATTAATTGTATAAAAGTTCCTAAATAATAATAGTACAGACATGTATCAAAGTAAAGTTTGGCAAGAAAAATACTAGCCGAAGTGTTCCTCAATTAATATTACATGTACTGTATTAATCTCAATGTCTTTTATAGTAATAATAAAGTCCCAAATAATAGTGCAGTAATATATATATATAAGCAGAATAAAGTACTAGTCAAATTTGTAAAAGACAGGAAAACTACTAACACTTTTTGATTTATACTCGTACTGAAAAAAGTCAGTCAATCAGTTTACTACATTTATCTAATTGACAAAGTTTAGATTAGAATATTACAAACATCTGGTTCTCATTATGTTCACTTATTTCAATGTCTAAAAGTGTTTTATTTCAGTCAAATTTTACCCCATATCTTCTACTTACAAAATTGAGCTTGATCTTCGTGATAGATCAGATTCCCAAATATAAAGATGATTAGATAAAAATTATTTGAGTAATTGTATTCACAAAAAGAAGACAATTTTAGGTGAAATTGAAATAATATCTTAAAAAAATATACCGAAATCAAAGAAATAGGATAAAAACTTTTTAAGTAATTGTAACCAGAAGAAAGGTTTTATGATGGAGTCGACGAAAAACAACAACAACAGTGACAGACATTTCCTCTCATATACCTTGATCTTCATCTATGATGATACAGACAAGGTAAATTTACAGAAAAGAAATAATCTCTCATTGGCCGATTTAGATGGGGGCCGAGGGGGCCGCGGCCCCCCTATTTTTAACAACCAACAGGGCTTCGCGCCATC